CAGACATGCCTTTAAGCAAAGTTATAAATGCACCTGTCCACCCACATATCTGCGAATATACACACCTTTGTGAGAGATTCCTTTGCCACAAGTAGAAGATGAAAGCGCTCGGGTCATGTTTGATTTGAATCACTTTGCTGTTTTATTCAAACCAGTTTAACCATAATCTGATCCTCTGATCCCACCAGTAAATTAAATTCCACACCTGCTGCTGGAGCACATCGACCTGAAAGCCAGAGTCTGAAGTGCATCTTCACTTTGTCATCAAGCTTTCACTGGATCACAGTGTAATTATAGCATAATGATCAACTTCATTTGTGCTGCAGCTTTCAGCAATGATGATTAAAAGTGCAAAGAACTATTTGTACTTTCTACTCATTTCAAAAGAGGATCATCACTTCATATAATGGAAGTTTTTTATTTCAAATATCAAACTGATTTGGGCCTAAATCACGAGCCTATAGAATTTGGACAGAATTTTTGGTGCCGATATCAACAAGATTCGGTGGGCAGAATCAAGCTAGTGCCAGCATAAAGGTAGGGATGATTTTTAAGTGTCTGATCATTTCAAATGCAATATTTCTCACTGTATTTTTAGTTGTGGAAGCAAAGTGAAAGAAAAAACAAAAATGTTTGTATTTCTATGCTCTAATATCCTTTTATTAGCACATGAATATAGCATGAGGTTCTTAGCTTTGCACAAAAAGCTAACTGGCAAAAACGCCCTTCAAAGACGATTTACTTTCTTACTTTGAGTACATGCTTTTCACTTTTACTTGAATTGTTGAAACAGTATTTAAATTCTAACTAAAGTATTTTTTTGGAACACGCATTTGTACTTTTACTTACCTAAATAATTTGTGTACTTTTAACCGCCTCTGAATACAAGGACGAACAAGAAATCCTTACTTCTGAGAAGGTTAGGTCTGGGAATATTTTCCTAAATGATACATTTTCCAATTAAAAAACAAAAACACTACTTCAATTTTTCAATTGAAGAAAGAGAGCCAGAGATTAATAATAACTAATGATTAAATGCAGACTGGTGTATAAACACATGAAAAAAGGTGAGTGAAGAAGAACAGCAGCCTAGGCCTATCGCAGCATAACTAAGGGATGACTCAGGGTCACCTGATCCAGTTCTAATAAAAAGCTTTATCAAAAAGGAAAGTTTTAAGCCTAATGTTAAAAACAGAGAAGGCGTCTGTGTCCTGAATCCAAACTGTTCCACACAAGAGGGGCTGGAAGTTCAAGGCTCTGTCTTTCATTCTATTTTTAAATATACTAGCAAGTCAACTAAGAAGGACCAATTGGAGAGAAAGCGTAAACAAACATAAGTAGTAGTGAAACTAGCTTAATCTAATGATATGTCTGTAAGAAAGTCATGAATTACCCTTAAGTGATTTAAACCCTGCAGCAAACAAACAATATGAGGGTCAGAAAGAATGAAGGTTTCATAAGACTAAAGTGTCAGAAATATAGCAAAGAGGCAAGCCATGGAGAGCATATTCTAGCTCTGCAGCAAAGTCAGAGCAACCAAAGGTCAAAAATAGCAGAATTATTAATGTTTAGTATCCAATAGTGAAGTTCCAAAAGCAGCCCAAGTGCCTTATAACAAACACTCAGTTGAAATGTGTCGTTTGGCTTCTCAAGCTCTCGAAACACTTATGAGTGATATCATTTTGACATTTATCAAACCTCGTCCTGAGAATTTTTTTGCAAACTGAAAGACCTCTTTAATGACTGTCTAGGAGTCAGTGTACAGAAGCTTATTTGGATTTCTTTAGAAGATTTCTGTAGCACATTGTTTAGGATAAGTGAAGAAGCTGTAATAAAGGTGTGAGGCAACAAAACTCAAAATCCTGCTGCTGAGCTTTTAACACCTAGCTAAAGGAGTGACCCCCATTTGTTCTTACAGCCCTTCAGAGGCCACCTGTTAGTTTTAGAATACATTTTAAGGTTTTATTGCTGTTTTTTAAAACTCCTGCCTACGTGTACCAGCTGCTGCGTCTATATGTGCTCGCCCTATGCCTGAGACCTTGTGGCAGGGCCTCGTCAGTGGTCCCAGCCACATGTTTGATCATTAAAGGTGGTTGAGCCTTTGCAGTTCAGCCTCCATGACTGAGGATCTCAAAATTGTTGTGTTAATTATTGTTTAGCACTTCCCTCTACAGGGTAGCGCTTACACATTCACCTAATGAGCAAAATCTCGCCATTCTGATCACAGGAGGACACACAAACCTCTTTGGGATGGTGCCATTAATCTGGCATCCAGCATTAAAAAAAATCTAACAAATATGTAGAGCTACTTGCTGTGACGAACCCTTGTGAATGAGGGAGCAGTGGAAAGCTTCTGTTCTGTTTTGAAGAGTGCTATTTAACTACATATAAAGTAAACTAAAAGCTTCTTTTTCTGCAGGTCTTAAAAACGTAACCTCGGTGCGATGCCCCAAACTGAAACCCTATCAAATTACAGCCAGAGAACGGCTACTTGATAATGTTGATACCAAGTAAGTTTGATACATGCATGTAAAGAGTAATTTTCTACTCTGTTAGCTGTTGATTGTCAAAATCTCGGTGTTAAGTCAGCGCTGACACTATGCGTGCGGTGACAGACAGAACTGCTGTCTGGAAATTTAATGGGAAAGAGGGCGAACAGGAGGGGAAAAAGTGCTGTGAGAGACTTCTTTCTCATTTGTATTCATTGCTTTGCATGGATCGTCTGGCCTCGCTCCCTCAGACCTTCCTGTGGTATAAATCCCATCAGCTTTTCACAAGTGTCCATCAGACAAACAGAGCTTGTAGATGGAAACAGGAGAGGCTCATCAGTGGATTCAAGGCAGTATGAGCTAAAGCGGAGTGTAGGCCCACAGTGACAGAAACACGTGTCTTATTGTGCTTTAATCTGCTGTTATATACAGTTAGATCCATAGGTATTTGGACCATGGCATTTTTTTTCTAACTTTGCCTCTGTAAACCACCAGAGAAGATTTTAAATCAAACAAATAGCATGTGATTAAAGCACAGACTTTCAGCATTTAATTCAAGCTGTTTAACCAAAGAGGATCAAAAGTAATTGGAAAACCAGCCATCAGTTTCACACCCAGGTGATTCCAAGTGTTGAATGCCTATTTGGTAGTTTTCCACTGTCCAAAGAAATATTATTGCATGTGAAGTGAAGGAGGCCATCCATGGCTGAAAAACCAAAATAAACTTATGAAAGAGACAAAAGGCTGAATCAGAGAAGCTGTGTCAAATACTTATGGGCTTGAATGAACACAAATGTCACCACTTTAAAGTGGTGCAATGAATGAAAATGTAACTTCAATCACTCTGAGTTTCACTAACATGAAGCTGAAAATAGGAAATCATGTAATGTGGTCTTGAATGTGCAATTTTTAGGTAAGTGGTGCTACTTTGGTGTTCTTTAACCTGACTTTCTTCAATATAAACAGCGTGTGGATATGGGCGTAACAGGTGTTGGTGTTTACGAGCAGCAAACACTGATAAAGCAGCAACCATGCTCCTGGTGGTACCACACAATCTCAGCTTGTTACAAACCTTACTGCACTGACTAATGCCAGTGGTCAGGGGAGGGGATGCTGTAAGTGTTGTGCAAAGAAGCAGAACTGTGAAAAGAGGTACTCGCTTAAAAAAACACAACCCCCGAGCAAGCCAGCTCTCCAGTGGTTGCTTTAAAAGAGCTTTAGCCATTGTTGCATCGAGCTACAGTTTCATTTATGACTTCACGGGCTGCATGTTTTTCAGCACAATGGCTAAAACATTAGAATCACACACAGTATAAAAGGAAAAGCAGCTTTCTGTGCAGCGCTACATGATTAGTGTGTTAGAAAAAGAGGCGCTAATTAGCCAAAACCACAGGCTTCAGCTGGGTTTGTTTTTACAGGTACTTAGTCATAAAAATGAAATGATTGCATCTTACTGTGTGTGTGTGTGTGTGTGTGTGTGTGTGTGTGTGTGTGTGTGTGTGTGTGTGTGTGTGTGTGTCTGTCTGTGTGTGTGTGTGTGTGTGTGTGTGTGTGTGTGTGTGTGTGTGTGTGTGTGTGTGTGTGTGTGAGAAAGAGAGAGATTGCATTTATTTGTTTCTTTGTCCGCCAACTCCTCCTAGAACATCAGAAGTTGAGCAACCAAACTTGGCACACAGGTTCATCTCCCTTTAGGCTTCTGAAGGTTCTTATCTATATCAGATAATTGCATCATGCTGCCTAGCAACGGCCTCACAATGAGTTAAGACGGCCTGTTTATGGATTCGTGCACTGACAACATCTTATGAAAACATCCTATAGTCTTAATTTAATCACAGTAAAATCTGCTTTATATCGAAAGTGTTGAATTGTGCATGACATATTATGACATCACCACATTGCTTGGCAACCACGTAGCAACGGGTTAAAATTATCTATTTTTAGCACCATGTGAAAACATCCTGTTGTTTTAGTTTCACACCTTCGCAAGATTTCATCTATAGCCATAAAACCTGATTTATACATGCCTAGCAACCACCTAGCAACAGCTTAAATCAACCCACGTTTAACATATAAGACCTCCTTCTTTTCTTTTTTCACATCTATAAATGTGAATACCAGTAATATTAGCATGCTAACACTCCAGAAAGGTTCAAGGACTACTCTAACATGGGCAAGCACTAGTTTAGACGAAACACACACACACCAGATCCACAAATTGTAATTTCATGGGTACACAGCAAGAGGAAAAAACCAAAATCACTAGGATACAAAATTTTACTGGGTGAAGTAAAAGGTTTGAGCTTCCTACAGTCAAATTTCAAGACAATCAAAAATCCGAACTGAACAGTGGCACTGAAGGAAACGTAAGCACCACCATAACCGGTACAGGATTCATCATCAGTTGACTGTGATGTCTAAATTTCAAGGGGATCCATCTTTGTGGAAAACAAAGACACACACACACACACACACACACACACACACACACACACACACACAAAGAGAGACAAATTTTATGGCAAGGTTTTATTTATTGAAATTTTACTTAAAGCACCATCAACAAATCAATGACACAAGTGCCTTTATGAAATATTTACAAACATCTTTTGGTATACTGTATTCTCATATTTACAGTGCAGGATCCCGCACAATACTGACTGACGCTATAAGAAAGTAGAGCTCACATTTGGATCAATGTTACAACTGCTTTGATTCAACACTTTCAAAGACAAAGGAAAGAATATAAAGTGTTCAGTCAACGAGTTATTTGTTATCTGTGGAGAGATAAAAATCTTATCGGGTGCAGCTTTCTGAGAGCTGCTTCGATGACGGGAAATAATTTATCCAAAGCTTTAGAAACAGGCTTTGAGATTTCAAACAAAACACTTAAAAAAGTTGCTTCTCTGTCATGCATTCAGCTGGATATCTCCCCTTTAAAACCTCCAGCTGGAGGGACTCATAGTGTAATGCAACAAAATGGCTTTGAGCTTAGGAAAAAGCCATAAGCAAAAACAAAGAACAGTGCAATCTATGATGGAGAGGAGAGAGATATTGACCTAATTGTAACATCATCAGTTACTACATTATGAATCTGAGCCATAAAATACTGTACATGTACTCGGCAGCATATTAAAGCAGAACACCATGTGGTGTGAAACGGATCACAGAGAGATGGTTTTGGTTCGGTTGTTATATGCTGCTGTTCACTAATGGCTATCAGAGGTGTTGCATTAGAAAAAATTTGAGGTTGAATTTTTGTTGCTGTTTTCCAGCAAAATTGTAAAAATGAGTGTTAAGTGTTGTTGTTTCCAGACAGTCACATGGCTGGATTATTGCTGGTGGAGGAGGTTCAAACATCAGTGCTGGCTTGCGTTGTGTTGACAGTGTCTCCTTTAACCTGCAGACAGGGAATCATGGGAAAGAGAAAGAGGTAGACATGTCAGACTTAAAGGTCAACCTTCTAAAATGTAACTCCAGTGACCTGTGTTTGCAGCTAATGTGGTAAAACTGACACATTCGGGTAGTTTTTCAGCTGATATTTGGGATCAAAAGGGTTTAAATTAGAGCATAATTCAGCCCAACTCCATCTCTAGTGTGCCACTCTCACTGACTCACAGTGCCGTACAGTCCATCACAGCCTCGCTGCCCACATGGTAAGCACTGGTTCACGCAGCGTCAGAGAAGGATCACTAATCACAAACCTCAGACTCTGGCAGCAACAAAACAATAAAACCTTCACTTCACAGCTCCTCTGCTACCCGTGAGCTGAGCTGGAAAGGTGATGATCCCACACACGACTAAAAAAAACATAAGTGTGAAAACTCAGAGCGGAGGTGCTTAACTTGAAAGCAACGTTTGCAGTGGCCGATAATCATCCTGTTTTCCTGAGCATATTTGGCAATGAATCTATTCTTGTGTAGAATAAAGGTTTCACACACTTTAGAACCAAGCATCTGCATTTTGGTGTTTTTCAGCTCATTGTTTTGCTTCACAAACATCAGAAACTTCCTGTTTAGCTCTGCTCTCAATGCCTTTCACAGCCTCCGTTCTTGCTACACATTAACCAGAGCTTCATATTTGAGTGGTAAATAAGCTGATGAAGAGGTTTGGTATGAAGCTGTAGTTGACTGAAGCACCTAAAAGCATCTACATTCATGGGCAACATAAATGAAGCCTGCTGGATCCTCGAATTAATCACTAGGTTAAAACTGGTCATGAGACTGGTTTTCGTCTGAATGTCACAAAGGTTAAACTTATTCTAGGTTATTTTAACAAACTTGCTTTCAGCAACACTGCATATGCTTTCTTTTCTTACTCCCAGCCACCATTGTGCCCGAGTCACCGTGGAAATTCACAGGTCTGACAAACAGGGCACAGCTGCCACGCTAGATGGCATCGCATTGAGCAACCGCAGCAACACCAACATCACATTTACTTCTGTTTTGAGATCTCTTGTGTAACCTCGTGTGTACAAAGTGCCTCCTAGTTGAATGCAAGTAACCTCTAGCCCTTGTACAGCTTTGGAAATAAAACCCTGGGAAAAAGCAATGTGTAAATGACGTTGGTCAACAGTTCGCGGAGCGGACCTTGACCTCGCCTTCCCGGCTCTTCCAGTAAAGGAGACTATTCCAGGGTTGAGTTGCACCACACTTCCACGCATGCCTGTTGTAATCACTAACAGATGTTAGTGGTGTTTGCGCTTTCAAACATGTGCAGTGACGAAAGGGTCACAGTTCATCAGTCACAGCTCTGCTGAAAACCAGCTGGTGCATCACAACAAACAGAGGCTGGCAGCAGAGAGGAAACGGCTTGGAAACACTTTTTATTGCCCGAGTCAGCTGTTGATCTGTGTTGTGTTAGCATTGTTGTGCAACATGCTATAAGTAATTTGTTTGCGCAACACTCTGTGTTTGTACTATGAGAAAATCAATATTAAGTGAAGTTTTGTTAGTAGGCAGCAGGAAAATGTCACTCAAAACTCTACACTTCTTCATGCTTGATCATCATTTGGTTTAAAAACACATTTTGGAGATCTAATAATCTAATATATAAACAAATCCTAAGTGTCCAGGCATATTATCAATATAAAATGTCTGTGAGGTTGCAATTGAGAGAAATTATTCTCAAAATAGTCTGTAAATGTTAATAACTTGATAATATGCACAGGTATGCTCACCTTAAATTCAGTTACAGACGTTTAGAGTCCTCTGCAGTTTCACCTATGCAACGAATTCAAAGAAAAGTCATGAGATCAGTCAGTGTGGAATAAAGCAACTTCAGCGTAAGAAGCTCTGCTGGACGATTACTTGATGTAAACAACAGCGACATCTGCTGGATAAACTGTGGCACCTCCTTCACGCCTCTCTCAAACCAGCTGGGTCTTTTCCTGTGCGGGTGGCTCTTCACGTTGGTGGAGTGGTTGCAAAAGTCTGAGCACCTGTCACTGCACTACACTATGATGCTCAGCTTGCGTTTTATCTTTTGGTTGAACCAGTTTTTGTCTGAGAGCATTACTGGCACTTTAGCTCCAGTGACAGTGGCAAGACTTTTTTTCCACACCCTAACTCATGTCATGACTCACATACGATTAATGGCATGTCAGTGACCTTCAGGACAACCTCCAAGGGCACAGCCTCCCTCGCTGGGGCTTAAATGCCTGTGACTCTTGGCCAGTTGTTTCAGAACTGACAGAGTCTCTTGGTTAAGAGACAAAAAGAAGACCTGGTGCCTTCTTTTTAGTCACTCGACACCACCAAAACCTGGATGTCAGTGAACTTCGACGTATTTCTTTTGTGATCTGTATTTCTATCAGATTTCTAGCCACAGTATTTTTGTTTCCAAATTCTCTTCTTCATCCAGTGAAACCTACCATCTTTTTTCATCCACTCGTCCAACTCTTCCATTTCGAGCTCGAGTACAGAGGGCACGTCCTCTTCAAACATCGGCCTGAAAGACACAAAGAAGAAAGGACTGAGAGTCATATTTTTTTCTCTCTTTTGTATCATCACATTAAATATAATTTCAAAGGATTTCAGAGCCACATTTTTTAATCTTTAATAAGTCGGACTTAAATAAAAAAGAAAGACGTGTTTGTAGTATTATAGTAAAAGATTGCACAGAAGCCAGGGGGTAGTATATGTTTTCTTTACAGCTCTCAGTATCATTCAGCTGCAGCCACAAGCAGGAAGTTATTCTCACAAAGCGCTGAACATCGAGATGATATCAGTTCTTTAACAGGTTCAATAAGCAGTTGTAGCAAAATGACATGGGTGACACTTACATCGGCACCTTCTCTGTACTGGATCCATCCAAATATGGATCTTCTTTACTCAGGTCTACAAGCAGAGAATATGCAGCAGTCAAGGCCGCAGTCATAAAAAAACAAAAAAAAAACAAATCAGATAATCTGTACATTAAATAATAATAATAATAATAATAATAATAATAAATTTTATTTATGAGCGCCTTTCAAGTCACCCAAGGACACTTTACAATAAGATAAAACACTTAGTAAAACAATGGCAGAATAAGAACAATAAAATACAAGCACAAGATAAAATGAACAAACAGTGGATTCACAGTGAATATGCAGATTTGAACAGATGAGTTTTGAGTTGGGATTTAAACTGGGGGAGAGAACCAATATTTCTTATTTCTGGGGGCAGAGAGTTCCACAGCCTGGGAGCAGAGCAGCTGAAAGCTCTGCTTCCCATGGTGGTGAGGCGGAAGGAAGGTACAGTAAGCTGGATAGAAGAAGAAGAACGAAGTGAACGGGCAGAACAAGTGGTGGTTAACAGGTCAGAAAGGTAAGGAGGAGCGAGGTTATGAATGGCCTTGAAGGTGAGCAGAAGAAGTTTGAAAATTATCCGGAATTTCACAGGGAGCCAGTGAAGTTCCTGAAGAACAGGGGTGATGTGCTGGTAGGAGGGGGTTCTGGTGATAATGCGAGCAGCAGAGTTCTGAACCAGTTGAAGCTTATGGAGGGATTTTTGGGGGAGACCATGCAGAAGAGAATTGCAGTAGTCATTAAAAACCACCAAACACTAAATTATTTCAGATACTTCAGTCTATCACCCCCAGTCCTTCACTTTTTGTTTGTTTTTGGACTTTTTGTTTTTCTCTGTGTACAGGCCTTCTAGATTCCCTGCACGTCTTCCCTGCCGTCTGGATTTCTGTAGATGTGTGTGAGTGAGCATGAGCATTTTGGAGTGGACTTTCTGAGTGAGTTGTGGATTAAGTTGAAGCTCCACCCCCTGTGTTATCTGTCTCACTGTATATATGTATATATCCTCACTTGGTGTCACATTGTAAATAAACCCTCACCTTCTCTCTAAACTTCAGAGTCCTGCGAGTGAGTCCTCTGCCTAATAATCTGTGACACCAGGATTAAGTGAGAGAAGTGAAACTTTAAAATATTCCCTCCTCTGATTGACATACCTGGATTTCTCTTTTGTTTGTTCCACCTGCGGTTGATGAAAATGCCACAAACTATCATGCAGATGATTAAGACCACCAGCACTGCAGGGATAATGATAATGATGGGGTCCAGGCCTGATGATTCAGTTTCATCCATGGAGTTTTCATCTATTGATGTGGCAACTGTGGAAGGAAGACAGCAGTTTAATCATTCGTTTCACCCAGGCCTCATAACGGTCTTAAAATTTGTTCACTGGCATAAAAATATGCAAAGAAGGGATTTTCACAGGAATTAAAACCATGGGGCATTACTGACATTACATTCAATTCAGCCCAGTGACTACTACAGTTGCACAGGTGATAATTAATGCAATCATTACTCATGTGGTAAAAGAAGCAGTCAGTTATACATACCACTACCGGAGGCACTGCCTTCTGCATGAACCCCGAGTAGAAACAACCAGAAATTGTGAGATGGTTTCATCCAAAATGAAAAGGGAGCAAAAACAGAACAAATGATGATAAAAAACAAAGCAAAGCATCATTCACATGTAATGATGGGGGGGGGGGGGAAATGATTTCATGTAAAATAAAAGCTGCTGTGGACCCACCGTACAGAGTCCCATTTGAACTGGTCTGATTGATGACTATACTGGTGTCAGTAACAACTGGGAACAACAGAAAGAGCAGATGTGTTCATACTCCTGGACAAAAGTATGTAGATATCCAAAAAGTGTGGTTGCTAAGCATCTAAATTGAAAACCAAATACAAAAAAGATGCTGTAGTAACATCATAACAGTTTTTTTTTATTATAATATGAAAGAAACAGAGCAACAAAGAAAAACCTAATATCGTAAAGCTAAAAATATCCAATATCCAGATTACTGCTTAAGTAAAAGCAACACAATTACCCCAATACGAGGCCCGCTTTCATTTTTAGCAACAAAACGTAAGTAAAATTTCTCTCTTTGCAGAAACCCGAGGGTGTGTTAAAAAAAATAGTGTTATTGTTGTCGTCGCTAGAGTTGAACTAGGGTTCAGGCATCGTTCAAAGGGTCACAAGATAAATGCGAGGCGACTGCGGGGAGAGGAAAGAAGAAGAATGAGGTTCCATACCATTTCCTGAAGCTGTCTTTTATGATGTGACACATTCACTTGGAGGTTTGTGATGATTTTAAGTTTATATTGGGCAGGAAATTAAAAAAAAAGAAAAATTGTTCCACAAGCTCACTTACAAAATTAACATTGATGAAGTCCAAAGATGCTTAAATTCTTATTAATTTTAGTTAATGTGCAGGCAACACCTGCACAAGTAACTGAAAAGCACTCTCAAAGTAAAAACAAATATATTTAAATTAGGCAGACTCCCAGAGAAAATACATTTATCAGAGCTAAAACCATAAACAGCAGAAATAAATTTTAAAAAAGAAACGAAATGAAAAGAAAAAGAATACAATTCTGTGTTAATATGAAAAGCATAAGCACCTCTCCTTCCTCCTTTACAGTCACTGAATGATTCATGTCATGCTTTCGATTAGTGTTGTACATTCTGAAATGATTCAGAGTATTTGAGGGCAGGGACGCTAATACTCTGAAATTTTGTAAGAATCGCTGGCTGCATGGGTCATGAGACAGTAAAGTGTGTTGTGTTGTCTCTTTCGTGGGAAACGCTGATCTAAAAATTAGTCACTACAGCTTTAAAATAAGTACAGGAAAGTAAAAGCTACTTTAATACACCTTAGTGGCAGAAAAAAGCAATAAAAATGGCTGTATTGATAAGTAGAGGCACGCATGAGTCTCTGAGTGAACATCGCAGAAAAAACAAAACAAAACACTTGTAACAGACTAGAGGAAAAAGTCCTAAATACTCGCGATTTTTAAAAGAAATCATATTTTGCAGACATTCTCCACGGTGTTGGAGACTCTGGGATTTTCCCCCATTCAGCGAGGTGGGCACCTGACGTTTGGTGGTGAAGTCATGCTCACTGTTGGATGTTTATCCAAGAGAACGTGTTGAAGTGGGTGACAGCGTCTGCAGAACTGCAGCTGAGTGGGCTGATTAATACTGAAACACCGTCACATGGTGGGATTTCTTTCCCCTCTTTGCAAGTTCAGACTTGTAAATGCTTAATTTACAGCCCAGCCCACAGGCTCAGTGCAGACCTGAGGAGAAGTGATTCTTTAAGGATCTGGAGGAGAGGGGAGGGCTCTCCTCATTTTTGTCCAAAATTTCAGTGTAAGTGCACTCAGGAACTCCAGTACGACAGAAAAAAAGATTAAAATCCACACCAATGTATATAAATACATTGGTGTTAAGTTCTGCTGTAAACTGATGCATCAAATAAATGCATAAAAGAGACATAAATTGAAGTAAATTTTAATTATATTATCATAAGATATTGTTTCAATAAAGGGAATTCAAGGCAAAGGTTATACATATATGCGTGCAGGTTACTCTCTATGGTGATCTTATGAGCAAATATCTCTTTTTTAATTTCAGGCCTTCAGTTAGAGATATCAAGATATCAAGATTGAGACAAACTAAGACATCCGTTTCTCAGAGCACTGACACAACTGACAGAAAAAACATGTCCACATACTTTTGCAGCATATTATTTACACCTCACCTGTGGTTACTGTGTCATTCCCTGACCCGCTTTGTTCCATTTCTTCTTGGCCAAACCCTGTATTTGGACACAGCTCGTTACTTTGTGTTGGGGAGCTGTTATGTCATTGAAACTGGACGGCAAACACTTGAAAGTAAAGCATCTGCAGCATTTCATAGCAAAAGTGAAACACACCTGGGGCTGAAGACTGTTACTTCTGCTTGACTTCATTGGCAACATTGTGAAAAACAGCGAACCTGAGTCAGATCGCACAGGAACTCAGCACTTCCGTCTAGTTTAGTCCAAATGATTGCAAAAAAAATCAAAACTGTTGCAAAACCGAGGACTAGGAGGCGATGATGTTGAGCAACTGGTTTAAAGCAAGTTTGCCACTCAGTAAAAAACAATAATGTTGTGTTGAAACTGTCCTTTTCAGAGTGTATTAACTGTAGACTGTGACGCCTGTAAAAGGCAGCTTTGGCTGACCTTGTTATAGACTTATAAAACTATAAAGACAAGTAACTGATTTCTACACATGGTGCTCATCTCACAGTCAAACCTGTGACTCTTCTAGCTCTATACTGTCAATTTCTGCTTGTTACATTTTAACTATAGGAGAAGTTTTTTTGATTTTGAAAGCGTGAACAATAGGAGCCTTTGATTTTCAGTCAAAAAGACGTTCTCAGAGTGCCCCAAAAGAAAAACTGAAGCGCACAAACGGCAAAAGCGGGGAGGAGGCAGGAAAGCGGAGAGCACTGCTTTGTTTGAATTCACTGAGTAAAGAAACGAATGTCCCCGGTCCTACCTGTCCCAGGCAGCACAGTGGTCAGCAGCAGCAGCAGGAGCAGGGGGACCTTCACCCTCGGGGTGCTCATGTTACCAATCCAAGAGACAGACATAGTGCCATTGTGCGCCCGCTTCCTTCTGTACTGTCACAGCATCACACTTCCTGATATGACTTAACGTTAAATAGAAGAAGAAGAAAAACGATTCTCTCTGTCTCACTCACACACCCTCAGACGCTCTGAGATGTGATGCAATCAGCTGTGTGCTTGTAGCCACACGCCTCATGGCATTCTTGGTGGTTAGGTATGCAGCTCAACAGAGTGAAGGGGGAAGCTGAACAAACTTTAAGGAAGGAAAAAAGGAAGAAAAAAAAAAAACAGGTGGCGTGAGCTCTGCCAAGAGAAGAAAGCTGTCACCGAGCTACCGCATTAAATGATCCAAGTGTGAAACTGCTGCGTGTCTGCTGTGTCCACTATAGCTGGAGCTTGAGCCACTGTTTGTGGTGAGACACTGATCATGAACCTCAGGGTCATGCTGCCTTGGTTATCAGTCAGCTGCTGTGGGTTCTTGGCCTACTTTAAAAAGACCACAGTTTCTCTTCTCATCGTTAGAAATGCGACGGTGATGTGTTTCAACATGACGGCCATCAGCTTTATCTGTTCAGATCACCTCAAGAGTCACGTGGGGATAAAATGTATACCACAGAATTACTGTTCGATTCCCATGAAAAGAAGAAGAATGAGACTCTGTTAGCACAAACAAGAATAAATGAAGTGATAGAAAATGAATATCTAATTGAATATAAATGGACATAGAGAAGTTGGGCTGCATGTTTTGAGCGTTCTGATATAAATGTTCAGTAAAATTTTCACAATTATGGTTTGACATGATATGAAGTTAGCACAGGTTTTCTATTTGAGCCTGACTGAAGAAAAGTAAATGTCTTATCAGATTTTACAGCCACGAGTCAAGAATCAAACCCCTGCAAACCTCATGGTGCTGCTGAGAAGGCTTCATCCTTATGGGGACAAGAAAGTCTGCATTGCACCCACTTGCTTCCCAATACACACAACAGTGCATACACCCACCACATCACCACCTAGTAGAGTTTTCAGCATTGAATTGGGGAAATGGGTTGTGTTTTGGGGTTAAAATAGACGTGCTCAACCGTGTGAGCCTCGTGTTTGAGACTGTTTGGCCCAAAAACCTTGAAGACCAACAGGTGTAGCTGTGGCTAAAAACCATCGGTGTCTTCAATAAATAAGTCTTTTTAAAATTGCTTACAAAACAAAAAGCATCTGTCAATTTCATCAGTAGTCGCTAAAAAATATTTTTCATGTATCATTTTAGCCAGCCAGAAGGCTCAATCGGGCCCCTGCATAGAGCTTTTGCAGAAGTCTTCTTCTTCGTCTTACTTATTTCTTAATAAAATACAAAACCAGAACTGTTTGGGTAATATGGTGGTGCAGTTGTTAGTACTGTTGCCTCACAGCAACAAAGAGTTCAACTGGGACCATTCTGGGCAAATTTCCCTGTTTTTTTTGGGTTTTTTTGTGGTTTCCCTCTGGGTACTCTGGCGTCCTCCCGAGTCCAAGGACAGGCAGTTAGTGGCGTTGGGTTAACTGGTGATTCTAAATTGTCAGTGTGAATTGTTGTCTGTCTCTCTGTGTTAGCCCTGCGTCAGATCAGTGATCTGTCCATGGTGTACCCGCTTTGGACCCTATGGTAGAGAGGCAGAGAATGAATGGAAATGTGCAGGAAAATTATTTTTATATCTCAGGAGGTTGTTTGAAAAACCTACCTTCAGCTGGTTTCTTGCCTCTGCAGCAGGTAGCTCTGCATGTTTGATGTGGCAGAGTTTGACCCTTCCTGACACAACACAAAAGATACAGGTGGTTTGAATCAACAAGAAGCAAAATGCTGATGTTTCACACCCCTGATTTAAGACTTTACCAGAAGCAGTGCTTAAAAGGCGTGCATTAATGTGTTTAACAGTGAGCGTTTTTCCTTGTTTTGTTTTGCTCTTCAGGCCAAACCTATTTCTCATTAAATGCTTATTATTATTATTATTATTATTATTATTATTATTATTATTATTATTATTATTATTATTATTATTATTATTATTATTATTATTATTGTCTATAAATCAGTACTAAAAATTTTGGAAGCTTTTCATTCTTGCAGATATAGACAGCTCTATTATCTGCAGTTCTGGGTTATCCAGTCTTGCGCTGTGATTTTTAAAAAAAAAAAAATCCAAGCATGCTTTTACAGCATTGGCAGTGAGTTTGGGATCATTGTCATACTCAAAAACAACACTTTGGCCACCTAGATGCTTTTCAGATGGCATTGTATGATAGATAAAAAAAAATCTGACTGCTCTTGGCTGTAGATACTCACTGTTGTACCTCTCTCCTGACCTCCTCCATACATACTGACGACAATTTGAACCAAAAATCCCACGTTAATTCACAACCGATTTCAATCCAGTTCTTGTGTAATCTGGAATACCTCAGCCTCTCTGCCTGATTCCCTTCTTAAGAATCTTGTTTTGACTGCTATACACTTCACTGAGATCATTTCTGATGAGTTACCATTGAACAACAGGTCAACTGTTTCAGGTCAGATAGATTTTTTTAGATGAAGATGACTTTCAGACACTGCTTATCTGCTGTGGGGGTTTTAGGCATGCTACTTGAAAATAGTCAGGTACAACTGGACTGAAAATGAGTGAAAAGGCAGCCAGTGTCAAAATAAAGACCTTCAGAAAGCCTGGAGAACTAATGCTCAAGAACACTTTAAAAATGACAAGGAAGTTTGGCTACTTGGAAATAAAATATATACAGATATTAGGGTTGGCACAAGATCTTTGCACAGTACCTCAAATGGTACAAAAACAGGAAAACTTATGATCTCTATTTGTTTCACACAATCAATACAAGGACTTTACTGAGAATAGCCCGCAAGCGTCTGGCACTGAGCAAACTGAAGCTAAATAATGTTTCTGCTGAAGAATCGTTGTTTTGTGATCCTTTTCTGTGAGAAAGTAGCCATCGTGTTCACATGTGTCTAATCATCCGTGACTGGCGTCTCTTCCACAGAAGCGTTTACGTATACCATGAGTCATACCATCAGTGCCACTCTGTTTTTCACTTCAGTATTTCTGTTGTTTCTGTTAATAATTCTATTTCACTATTTTAGAGAAATAAGATTGCACGCGTTGTTATTTTTTCTAAAAGAAAAATCTCTGGTGGAGACTGAATGTGTTTTGTAACGTCTATAAGCAATCTGTGGATCCACCCAAGAGTCCATTTAACTTCAAAATATTTCACAATAGGCCACATAAGCAGAAAAACAAAACTCCACCTCAGGGATCTACAACAGAGACAGCTGCGTCCATAATTTGTTGGACAAACGTTTTTGTAGTTTTGCCTCTGGGGCGAGTTGAGACCAGTCAGGTTTGCCTGAAAAGATCAGATATGATGATGGGGAACAAGACTCTGTGTGCCTGCAATGCATTCATTTTCAAAATATATTTCAGTCCATAGGTTTTTGGATAAACATAGTTTTGGTTGTTTTGTTTCAGCTCAACAACACCACGATGAAAAAAACAACTTCAAAATATCTAACCAAATTAACAAAACCCTGTCAAAGAGGAGGGCATATCACTGTTAAAGTATAACCAGGCTTTCTGATACAAACATTTGGATTAGCAGAAAACAGTGAAATCATGCACAAATGCTTTTTCTACCATAATAGCCCCATGAGTGGGAGGCTCAGAAAAACTGCCCTGGGGACCCTCAAGAGGGAAATCCAGCCATGATGATGACTGTGGATGAGTGAACAGTGAACTAAGTAATTCACAACATGTAAAAGTCTGAACAAAAAGTGCAGTAGTACTATCAGAAAAAGTACACTTTAAAATCTGATTGTGTGATATAACAAATTAAGAACTAGTGATGATATATACATGCAGACATTTAATGATAGCTGCAATAGTTGATAGTTTTGTGTATTCATTGGTTTGAATGTTTTTACATTTTTCAGTTTGGTTTCAATTAGTTTACAAATACAACACATTTAAAGGTTGTTGAATTTTTAATAAAATCAATATAATATTTACATTTGATACTGATTTTAACTGGTAAAATACACCTTGTAAGTCACACAATAGTTGTCCTGGGTTTAGTTGTGTATTATATAAGGTGTCAGTCTCTGTCTAACAGAATCAAAACCTCCTATGTATGTGTGCCACAGGATCCCAGACAGAATCAGTGTCTTTCTTCTGGCCGAGTTCAAATAAAAAACGCCACATAAGCCCTGTGTCACGAAAATGGACACCAGGTATGAAATACAACAGCAAACACCCAACCCTCCACCTCCTCCTCCTGTTCCTGCTGGACCATCCGCCTCCCCTCAGCTAGCAGCAATGAATCAGACTGGAGGATCTTTCCTGCGATCAGCTCCATCTCTATTTCAGGAGCAAGCTCCATCAATGGTCACTCCCATTATCCCGGTGGAAGCTCACCTCCTCACTCAGCCAGGAACTGATGGCCAGGTGAGACAGCCAGAGGTGGTGGCAGGTGTTTACTGATAAAGGTGCTTAAAACTGTCAGATACTTCAGGTCAGATGAAAGAAAAACTGTTTTTCTGCTGCCACCTTCCTTGCATTTTACCTTTGTATAACTGTGGTGTGAAGCTTTGCTGATCAGTAAACTTAATCACTGCCTGTAATCATAATTCCAAAAATAAGTGAGGAGAGCAAAGTGAAGCTATGTATAAATGTAGTTTTATGCACATGTTCTCCTCCCACTGATCACTTTGTGTTGTTCATGCAATCTTCTTTGAATCTGGTGAAGTTTAAATTACCAAAGTTTGAATTTGACCACACGTACATGTTTCTGTGGCGCTCATCATTATTAGCCTCTGAAGTGCTGGACTAAGTGTCAGTATCGTGGGGTTTTAACCTTCTCCCTCCCTCCACAGAAGCTACTGTATCAGTGGCGTGTAAATGTGATCCCCAAAGCACCACCAGACGATGTTCTTGCTCCTCCACCCACCAGGTCCACTCCAAGGTAAGTTTGCTGTGCTGCTTTTTCTCACCGTCCTGCAGGTTTCTCACAGTGTTGACATGTGCTCTTACTCTGTGTTTTATCCCTGTAGAAAACGACTGCGTCAATCCCATCAGGATGACGGACGCCCTTCTATTAAGAAGCCACCAAATGCCTTCATGGTCTATCTGAAAGAGCAGAGGCCAAAGGTGGTGGCTGAATTGAACATGAGTGGGAGTGCAGCTGTGAATGCAGTTGTCGGAGCGAGAGTAAGTGTGTAACTAACTCTACATACATTTATGGATCTGTTCGTGTTTTGTGCTCGTGTTTATGCATGTGTACCAGCTGACCTGTAGTAATGTGTAGTAACAGTGTAGCTGTGCATTTGTATATGCTGACAGTGTGTTTCTGTGCTCTTCTGTCCACAGTGGAAGTTGCTCTCAAAAGATGAGCAGGCGAAATATTTCGATCGGGCGGAGACAGAAAGATGGCGTCACACAAACGAGCATCCACAGCGGTCCACCAAAGACAACTACGTATGTCCAAAGTGCCAGCATTCATACGTGTGCCTGTGACTGCACTGAATGATGAAACATTCACATCGGAGAGTTTGTATCAGCTCGTGAAAATTCTAATGTGTTTGTTTTTAGGGCAAAAAGAGGAAGAGAGTCAGAAATCGGAGCTGTACCACCGGTGAGAGACTATTTCTGGGAATCACGGCGTTTCCTTCATGTGAAAGACAAACATTTGTTTCAAAAAAGAAGAGTCATTGTGTTTTGTTTGTGTTGCAGTGTCTGCATCTGACCAGGAAGATCAACAGGTCAAGAAGGCTTACATCACGCCAGCTCAGCAGCCACAGACACAGCCAGGTGTTACTAGCCTGCCTCACCAGCAGGCAGTGTGTCTGCAGCTGCCAAATCAGGTCCTCTCCTCCTCGCATGTGGATGTTCCTACACACCTCTGCGCTGGTCCTAAACTAGGTAATTTAGCTACAGAATTTGTAATGTATCCATATTTATTGTGCAGTCTGTTTCAGTGTTTACAGTTCTTTAATTATAAAAACATGAAGAGGAAAAATTCATTAATTTTCATTAATTTCTTATTATATATGTGTGTGTGTGTGTGTGTGTGTGTGTGTGTGTGTGTGTGTGTGTGTGTGTGTGTGTGTGTGTGTGTGTGTGTGTATAAATTTCTCAATTTATTTTTGATCGCATCTTAAAATTGTATTATTAGTAGTAGCAGTAGTAGTAGAGGTATCTCATTAAGTTGGAGGAACCTCTCTAGTTTCCCCGCACGACGTCCGGATTTAATTTGAAGACGGACCACTTCCGGTCCAGCTGTCAACAGACCCCGCAGCACACGTGTTTCCACAGTTAAAATGGTGAGTATGTTGAACTGTGGGGTTTTCTGTTTGTATAGCGTTAATAAAAGGCCTGTAAATAATCGGAGCTCGTCGTGTTTTTTAGCCGAAGATTCAGAGGGGAAAACCTGCGGAGAAAGTGGTTCATCCGTACAGCCGGAAGGCAGCTTATATGGCCCGAGAGGAGTGCAGACTTAGGAGGAAAGAGAGGTTTGTAGATGGCCGCAGAGATCAGCTCACCTTAACGAATCAATAGCATGTTGTTAGCCTCACATTTGAGCATTGTGTTAAACTCTTGCCATGTCTCCGCCTCCGCGCTGCGAGTCTGCAGATGCAAACACGAGCGTGGCTCCAGGGACATGTTATTAAATGTAACTTGGGCTGATTGAGACACTTCATCCTGCCTTGACAGTTTTCTTTAACCTCTTGTGTGAAGTAAACAGCGTCTGTGTGATGATTTAAAGGAGGTTTAACTGGTTTCTTTCTGATGCTGCAGGCAAAAGACTGAGAAAGCTACTCGTCTAAGCAACATTGGTGAGAGCAAGCTTTTCGTTCATGTTATTGCAAGAGCAAAAAAGTAAAAAGGTGTTTATTGATGTTTTCTTTCCTTTTTTTCTTGTATCTCCAATCACAGGTGAGAAGCTCTTGTGGTTTCAGAGTGAGCTGGATCCAGCTAAGGCGACTTACACAAAAAAAGACGCCTGCGACATCATTGAGAGGTTTGGCTCTGGGCTTTATGTTCATTTTGAATTTGGAGTACATTATTTTTCATTTGGAAGTGCACAAACAAAAAGAGAGAGAGCCCGTACATGCATTAAACTGTGAGCCCATCAGCCAGTCTGTGAGCTGCCCCAGTCTCTGGTGAGAGTGATTCATGTTTTCAGGGCTGAGACTTCATCATCCATCAGCTGGCCATTGTTTACAAAACGCTACATGTCATCAGACAGCAGGTGATGATTTCATTTGGGCAAATAGAGCCTAGGGCTGCCACAAACGATTATTTTGATAGTCGACTAGTCACCGATTATTTTTGTGATTAGTCGACTAATCAGATCATCATCCATTGGACGTAAAACTACAGCTTATTGCACCAGCAGCATCTGCTCTTATATAACTATCATTAGCTTACAGCTTTAAGCGTTTAAGGTATGTGCTAACTAAAAATAAAGACAAGATGATAGTTTATTAAATTTTAATGAAATTTGCAGATTGTTTCGGTGAAGTTTAATAAACTCCTTGCTATCTAAAATATAACAGGACACCGGAGTAATTCTAGCATCTCACACTTCTGATAATCAGCTGTCTGCTTGACGTTTATTCAGCTGTGTAAAAACTATAACTTTAATCTCAGCCAAACCGATTTACTCAGGAACAAATAAAATACTAAAAAAGCCAAACAATAACATTTTTAAGTTATCTAAGTGACTTATATATGTTTAACCTGAGTAGCGAAAGACGGCGGTGGGTTTGAAAACGATTTGCCGGGAGTCCGGTGTTCTCACGGGCTCTAGTGAGCCTTGCCCCCGGCTAGCTATCGAGCTAGTGGGTAACAGACGTCTCCGAAAACGTCGGAGCGCTTTTGAAAATATGTGGTGTCTTGATAAACTGAGCAGATATTTGAGGTTTACACAGCTACATTCTCGCCTGAAAATATGTTAAACGTTTATTTTGTGACCCAGAAAGAATAATAAGAGTAATATTAAAACTAACTAGCTGCCGCCATTGTTGGAAACTGAGCTGGGCTGCGCTATGAATTCTGGGACAGAGCTACTTCTTCTTCTTCGGGGTTTAACGGCAGCTGGCATCCTTGTACATGCAGTGCTGCCATCTTCTGTTTCAGTCCGTTATTACACTCTTAAATCCTACTACTTATTCCTGCGTCTTTTGTGATCTTACAAAGCTTCAAACAACGCGTCGACTATTAAATCAGTCGTCGACGTAATCGTGACTAGTCGACTAATCGTGGCAGCCCTAATAGAGCCCTCGTTTTATTCTCCAGCCTGCATGAACCCAACCCCCTCTACCATGATTGGTCGGTTCCACTCCGACTATAAACAGAAACCATCACCTTCAACAATCACAACCAAAAGTTTGAGCCGTGGCGTTAATTTTGTGCAGTTTTTATTCGAATGTATTCCTTTTTATGTGAAACGAAGATACAGATCAATCATATGTGTGTTCTATGAGTTTCAGAGTCTTTTGTGGTCACATAAATAACAGTTTAAGCAAGGAATTTACAGCACTGACTTTTCTTCATAACTTCTGCAGTTCTCTATGGTGTGCTGGATATCCATGTCAGGGGAAAATCCTGATTGTGTTCCCAAGTCGATCAGTTTGTCGCCAATAAAAACATCTTAAAAGACCAGCTTCTTTTATCGCTCCCAGAACAGTTTGGTGACAATCTTTGCATTTTCCAGCACAAAGGAGCACCGTGTCCCGAGGAAAAAATGGTAATTAAGCGGCCTGAAGATCATCAAATTAACTACCTAGATCCTAATGCCACCATAATCTAGTTACAGTCCTTGAACGTGAACAAGCAGAACCCCAGAACCTGTGATGAACCTGGAGCACTGATGAGCCAGGAATGAATTGCAATCAGTCAGGATTTTGCCCGGACACTGATATCCAGCACACCACAAAGAACTGCAGATCTCATGAAGAAGAAGGTTAAATACTGTAAACATTGACTTTATGCATAAATTATATTTTTCCCCCAATGAAAGTGTTTTAAACTCATGAAATACTTGTATATGTATCCTAAAATAAAATGAAGCAACAAAGTGTATGAACAGTAGTATGTTTTCTGTCTTCAGATACCTCCACAGATTTGACTCTGAACTTGAGCAGATTGAACTCATGAATGGGATCAAAGGTCGGCAGGGTCGTCTCCATGGCGCCAGAGAGGCCGTAATCAAACAGACCATCGAGCGAGAGCGGGCACAGTTTGAGGGTGTCGGTTTCGGTGAGTCCTCGTTTTTAAAAAAAGAAATAAAAAAAGAAACGAGTAATTTATAGACACCTCTGGCTGTAAAACTGTCTGATCCTCTGCTGCGGTGTTTCAGAAATCCCCGACATCATCAACGGAAAACATCTGAAGACCTTTAGGTGAGTGGACGAGCTTTAATGAGCTAAACTCAACCTCTTGTTTCTCTTTGTTTGAGAAGATGTTATAATTATTCAGCTTCCATCATTTCACAGATTGGCTGATCAGCTGATAAAAGTGCATACATGGACTCTTAAGTCTGAACTTGAAATGATTCGATTTTGAAGACTGGTCATTAGTATTGTTGCATTTTTAAATTTTGCAGAGAGTGGACTGGGGATCTGAAGAAACTTCCGAATATTAAACTGCGCAAGGTCTCGAACAAAAGTTTAGAGTCAAAGAAGGAAGGAGAGGAGAAACACGAGGGCGAGGAGAATCAGGAGAATGATGATAATGAGGAAGATGGAAGCGATTTGGACAGTGAGCAAATGGATGAGATTTCAGACTCCCACTGAGACTCTTCATGTTGGACCTGCTGGAGTATTAAGACTTTCAGCACACTTAATGTGATGTGTGAGAAAATGCTGCTGCTATTCCTGGACCGTCCACGAGATGGTGCTACAGCCTCAAATAGCAAAGTCAGATTTTTTTTTTCCAGTCTGAACTCCTGCTAAAAGTTTCTCAGTGACTTCACACCAGCCTTTCCGAGGTTTCTACATTCATCATTTATTGCACAAACAAATATGCGTTTCATGTAACCAGAATGCTCTGTTTTATTTAGAAAATAGCGGTTGCGGTGGGTTTAAGACACAGAGGAAACTGTATTTTCTGTGAGGTGAGAAACCAAATCGAGACTATAAAAGTGGTCATGTGCGAGTAACAGTCGCTTTGAGTAGGCCGACTTTGTGTTGGTTCGAATCAAGAGAAATGCTCATAATCTAATGTAAAAACATGAATGGGGGGAACCCATGAAAGCTCTAGTTACATCGACATATAAATAAAGGTTGTCCAGCTCAGGACATCCGAAGCTGCAAACGACTGGGCTACTGGAGACTTTCTATTTTAACAAATAATCTGACGATAACTTTCAGACTATTACGTTTTTAGATCTCAGACTGAGCTAAAGGTTCAGTTTACGGTCTGTTTCTCTACTTATAACATCTGACTCTTTGGTGTCTGAAGACCTGATTGTCCAAAAGGAGAGTAAAGGTCTCAGTATGCTTCAGAGCTTGTCACACAGGCCTGATCAGGCAGGTTTAAAACAAACTCAAGCTATTGTATTTTTTTTATCCTGCCTCACTCTCACTTTTGACAACTTTTCCAAATTCATTAAAAACTTTTGAGTAGTGTGTCTGCGGGTCATAGATCTGCACTTCATGTAAAGTGATTGGTCCATATGTTTTGTTCAAAAATACGACAGCAGCTCAACTTCTAAATGGAGAAGTCTCAGTGAACACCAGGGGCACAGATGTGTTACAGATCTCAGAGTCAGCACCGTGGCTGCAGTGACTGAATCTGGAGCGTTTCAGAGTAGCCCTTATCTGCTACAATGTTGCATGTCTGATTCGACAATTCACGCGAGGCTTCAGCTGGGCCAATCAGGACTGTGTAGGCTCTCTTCTGGGACCTCCCAGCTCTCAGCAAGAGCAGCAGCAAGTCCCCCTTACAGAACAGTGGCAGCATCAGTGAAAGTAGGTCGGAGAAGCTGGGTGGTAAAAGCTGAAGCAGCTTAATTGTCCCGCCTTGTGGATGTGTGACAGTGTCAGCTGATGTGGGGACTGATTATGAGTCATATGCGTGATTCATTTGAAACATACTGAGACCTTTGATGAGCATCTGCAGAGTGTTCACATCTTTAACTCATATCAGTGCAGGTTGAGAAAGTGCATACAGGGATAAAATAGTGTCGGTAAACCACAAAACACGGTCTTTACAAGCGTTCTGTGCCGATGGCTTTGTTTTCTGTCCTCTCTCCACACTCTGCCCCTCTTCCTTTCTTCGTGAAGCCCTTCTGACCCCAACTTTTCTGGATCACCGAAGGACCGGATCAGTTCGTTTGTCCAACAGCACCCACTGGAGTTGAGAACAACATTACAACACTGCACAAGTCCAAATCTCACTGTGCTCATTGACATTACCATGAGCAGAGTGGGATAAGGGACTGTTCTCGGAGCAGGAGGAGATAAGTCAAACAGGGTTTTGCGCCGGCGCCACGGCAGCCTCCACTGACGTGTCCGAGTCCATCAGAGCTGCCGGAGCTGGGGCCTGGCTGACCGGCACCTCCACGGTTTCATGCCTGCCATTGGCGATGGTGCTTTGCCGGGCCTGGGGGTTGTGCAGGTCCTTCTCAGGACAGTTCTGCACAGTGATGATGCGGTTGAAGGCCTTGAGGCGGCGCCACAGCTGCAGGTAGACTTTACACTGGATGTACATAAAGATGAGGCCACCCGTGAAGCCAATGGCCACCACAATCAGCTTAGTCCAGAAGGGCCACTCCAGCACACCTGAAAGGACACCGACACACACACAGCAGCTGTTAGTGCCCCTCGCAGACGTGTGAGGGGTCAAGATGGTGGCATGTGCAGAGCTGTGCTTACCCTGCGGCGTATAGTACTTCAGAAGAGAAACTCTCCATAATTCGGCTGCAATCAAGAGCGATTTCTCTTTTTAATCTCTGGAGAAAACTATTCTATTGTGCAAACACTGTAGAAATACTCTAAATATTAATGCTTATGATTTTATAGGTCATATGTATTTTTCTGCATCTACTCTTACGTCCTACATCGTAAACACAACACGACACACACCACCACTGAACACAACCATGAATGTAGAAGAGCACTGAGGGGTGTTAACTGTGACTTGAAGGATAACTCGTGGATCAGAGGATACTGATCAACAATCGCATCATCTTCACATTCCTGAGAGTGTTCATCTCACAGATTTCAGGTATAAGTAGTGTACCATGCAAATTACTTTTGCATTAGTTTCCAAGTGGTTTTCTCCATCCGGCTGTTTTTAAAAAAATATTATTATTATGTTGTCGAGATTATACTCCGAGGCTGCAGTGGGAACCTTCCTGTCTTTGAAGTATAACATCTGAAACCTTATTGTTGCAGACAGTTGGTCTTTGGGTTTCACTTTCCAATAAATTTAGTAGGTGTTTCTCTTAGAATTACCAAAAAAATGTGTCACCTTTGTCAAAATAACTTCCTGTAAACACATCGCAGACTTGACAAAGATTTTCCTACAAACAGTCCCAGAAAGACTATTTGGCCAGTGTCAAAAGAAAATGCACCAGCGGCGACTGTTTACTTGAAAAATGCAAAGATTTCTGTTCAGTAAGGTAACACTGACTTTTACTGCATGTTAATGCAATAAAAATCTGATTATAATAAAATTGAAACATTTTCAGTAAATGTTAATTTCCCCAGAAACACAAAAATGACACATTAAACTAAAAGCTCTTTTATATTCGTTAACAGTGACTTTCAACTTCATTAGGTACAGCTGCCTTGATTCTTCGTTGCACAGATTCAACAAGGTGCCGGAAACACATTTTGGTCCATATTGACACAACAACATCACACAGTAGCTGCAGATTTGTCAGCTGCACAGTCGTGATGTGAATCTCTCGTTCCACCACATCACAAAGCTGCTCTTTTGGACCGAGGTCTGGTGACTGCGGAGGCCATTTGTGTACAGTTAATACATTGATTTGAACATTGTGTGACATGGTGCGTTATCAGGAGATGTGCATGCTGTTCTCATAAGGGGACAAAATCAGTCTGGCCCATCTCCTCTGATCTGTGGCATTAGCAAGGAATTTCGTTCCATAGAACCGCTGCACACTGGTTGTGTGGGAAAATCTTAGTCCATCAACAGTTTCTGAACTACCCAGATGAGCCCATTTGGCACCAACAACCATGATGGCGTCCCGTCACTTAAATGGCCCTACTTCTTCATTCTGATGCTCAGTTTGAACATCAGCAGATGATCTTGACCATGTCTAACCAGCCAATGTGATTGGCTGATTAGATATTTATTTTAATTGGCAGTTGAACACATGTACCTAATAAAGTGGCCTGTGAATATGGCAAGCGCGATGTAGTTACTTGGCCACATACCACAAGTATTGCTAAAGATGCTCAGTTCAGCAGCTTCACACATTTATTTTGAGACTTTCAAATGTTTTAAACTGTCTGAGAAACTGAAAGTTAACTCTTCAGAGTTCAGAGGATGTCTAAAAGCAAAGTCCGTCTTCCACACTAGAGCAGGACGCCTAATGTGCCTAATGTTTAGGGACGACTATCACAGTAAAACACCTAATGTATAATGTACCTAATATACCCAAACAGGCGAAACTTTTTAAAATCACTTAACCAGAGTCAGGCATACCTGCAGGTTAAAGGTACCCTGTGGGGTGCTGTGGGGGCATGTTGGGAGTGGATTATGCACACTGTATTCTTTGACATATTGTACCAGTAGAGTTGAAGCTAATACACTTTGCATGGTTACAATCCTGTATAAATCCATTCCACCCACATCAATACCGGCCATAAGTAACTGACTACACCAGAAAAGAAACATTAAAGAAGTTAAACCTACTCTGTGTGAGTGAGTGGAAACTCCTTTCCACTCACTCATGCCATCTGTATGAATGAATCAATGAAAAGGAAAACAACACCCACACATTAATGCACCCATTTTAGGAGTTCTTACTAATTCTGTGTATTTGTCGGTTACTCTATAAGAGAAGAGGTGAATATGAAATCTGAGGGATTTTATGGCTCATAGGGTGCATTAACAAACGCTACGCACACCCAGAAAAAGAAAGTGAAGTAAGTGGGTGAAACGTGACATTCAATTATAATTCTCATTTAAAAAAAGACAAACTATCGGCAGACAATTTAATTATAATTATAAATATAGATCCACACATTGATCATAGTAGACGATAATAAAAAAAGAAGGCTTTTTGTTTATGTTACATGTGGTGAGAAATAGTATCCAACATGTAACTATGGACACACGTGTTGACATGCAAACAGTGAAGGAGACACCACAGGGACCGTACTGCATGCTGCCTGACTCTGGCGTGTGAGCGGCGGGGAGGCGAAGGGAAAGCACTGACCGTTCTTTCCGAGTCGGATCTCTTCAGCAGTTCTCCTCACCAGAATGTAGACCGACCACAACATACACATTATCGCTATCAGGTGAAACAGCACTGAACAGAAGATCTTCCTCCTCTCGCTCTTCGACATGTGTAGCTTCTCCCACTGGAAGAAAGAGGCGCGAACACAGGAGGGAGACAGAGAAACACGCTCAGAACTGCCCTGCATATCTCAGCGCTTAACGCTTTTCAGGAAGACCTAAGTGTGTGCGGCGTACCTTGCTTAAAGGTTTGAGCTTCGTCTCCATGATGAAGTCAAATTTGCAGAGTTCACAGCAGCGAGTGTCGGAGGATTTGATCCACTGGTTGAGACAGGCCTGATGAACAAAACTGAGGCTTCCCGTGCAGCGACAGGGCATTATCAACGGACACTCGTCGTCCCCCTCACAGTGGCAGATCCTGCACACAGACATAAGGAGGAGAAATGACCTGCAGTCTCTGCACTGTTTTATATTAGTGCCTCTCTTTGTCTTTGTTTGTTTGGCCTCATCTGGGCAATGAAGATAAACTTGGGGTCAGTACATGATCAGTTTTCACACTTATGTAACTAACCTGCAGACCTCCAGCTCAGAGTCGTCAGAGCAGGGATGCGGTGTGTTCCCATTCGCACCACAGTGTTTCTGGAGTGTGGGCACTGACATGTCCCCGCCCCCTGAACCCTTCTCCTGGTATCTCTTGGTGATGAGCTCCTCGCCGTCGTCGGCCAATGAGGAGCTGCCTCTTGGGCTCTGTGACTTGTAGCTCTTCGTATCCTTATCTCTGCCCTGCGATCGATCCCTCTGCGATGCATGGCCGTCTCTCTTCACTGAGCTCCCGTGGTTGTGGCGCTTCTTAAGGCCGCTGCTGTCCTCCATCAGAGGTTGACTCTCTTTCCCTTCATCTGAGCCCACAGATTGCAGCTCCATGATCTCGGCTTTGTCTTCTCCTCCTTTGTGTGGGTTTATCACCTCCCTGTCCCGGCTGCTCCCGCTGCGGCGGCGCGCTCTTCTGGCTTTCTCTTTGCTCCAGCTGCGGCTCTCGCGGCACGCCTCATCCTCAGAGGAGTCTGAATGCGGCGCACCTGTGCACCGGAAGCGAGGCGGGAGATCCCTCCGGTTCCTGAAGGAGTGCTCCCTCTTCTCGCCCAGCTCACTACGGTCAGAGCTGAGGCTCCGGTCGCTGTGGTCGTGCTTGCCATTGGTTTCCACGCAGTCGATGGCCGTGCAGCTGCTTCTCTTGCGGCGGTGACGTCGCTTCACCTGCTTTTTCTGTGCCTGAGCCGATGAGCCCAGAGTGGTGCCAGTGACCGTCATTGCAGAGGAGTTGTGCGTGTGCTTTTTGTGTTTGCGTGACTCAGACACATCCTCCTCTAAGCGGGTCAGCTGTCCAGAACTAAACACACACACACACACACACACACACACACACACACACACACACACACACACACACACACACACACAGATGGAGATGAAATAAAGTGAAACAAGATGGAAAAACATAACTCTGTCATAACTAAAGCAATGGGCTGAAACATAGCTGCATGATTTTAAAGATTAAGTTTAGTCAATTTACTAGTAACAATTTATGCTACCATTTTTGATTTTGATTACTTAACAAGAAACTGGACTTTACACCATTGCAACACTGATTCTTTTCTTTTTCAGGCTTTCTGGTGTATTTACGGTAAAATGACACTTCTCTTTATATATTTTCTGCTGTCATTCAGGTTAATTTCTAAGTGACAGAATTAGGGCTGCCCATGATTTCTCTCTTATACTTGGAAAGACGTTATGATCACAGAATATCTCATTCTTCTTTAATTAATTTGGATAACAAAGACTTATTTGCTATTAGAGGTTGCTAAAACAGCTTCTGTTTCATTTGAAGCTGAGAGTAGTTGGACAGAAACTGCCGCTGCAAAACAGGAAATGGATAATAGGAAACAGAATGGAAACTACAGCTTATGATCAGACTAAATAATCAAACAAGCAGGCAGTGGACATGGACTGAACTTAGGACAGCAAATTAAGGTGCTAACACACACACACACACACACACACACACACACACACACACACACACACACAGGCTTGTTTCGGCCATGAAGCCAAAGGACTGAGCCTGTCAGTGTGGCCAACACGGCACCAGTGGGTATAACAAGCTGAAGGTTTCCATTTCTGCAATCAGTCATCTCCCCCCCATTGATTGCACTATGGGGGCGCCACAGCACACATTTTAAGTTTGTTATGCCCTTGGGGTGCAGCCGACCATGCTAATTCAGTCTCCCACTCAGAAGAGAAGTGTGCATGTTAATATCACAGAGAGAAGGCTGGCTGCTCCTGGCTTTAAAAGAGATGTCTGAACAGATATTTGCAGATAGTCAAGGAATGGAGTCTTTCTTCCCAGGTAACTGTAACTGCAAGAGAAGCCAATCTTACCTGCATATGTCCTGAGCGGATGGTGTTATGGATGTCCTTGAGGCTGTAGTGAGCCCTGCAGTCGAGTTGCTAGCCTGCAACCACCAACATCCTCTATTTAGTGCATTCTACAATTACTTATGAGTTACTAAACAACCAATCACACATTGTTTTATGAATCAGGTGTCAGTAAATGTTTACTGGTTCTCAAATGTGGTTGCATTTTAATTTTTTTATTCATTTATTTTTTGTAGAAGGTACTCCTGAAATACCCAAAACCCTAAGATTTGAGTATCAAACATACTCCTTAATGTACTATCATTTGTCATGTGGGTGACCCTTTACTGTAACTCTTACTGTAGGTACTGAGCATTTAACTTACCTAATGCATAAAATATAGACAGTAGATATATATAAAATACTACAATAAAATTGAAGGTGAATTATTAATTTCTGAGGGAAAACAGCTTTTAGATTCTCTCCTACACACTGCAAAAAGTTTTCTTCCACTGTGCTTGCATTCAATAATCAGTGACACTGAGTAGGTTGCACCTCATTTATGCACCCATACTATACTGTAAATCGCTGCTGCTTTTTGAAGCTCTTTTAGCTAATATGTGAACAAAAAACTGCTTATTTCCGCCTCTGGCAAAAGTAGAGTAACTAGAGTTATTTGAGCCGCATTTCTGGTCATGTAAAAAACTTAACTTCCGTGTTATGATTTTTACTTTCAAATCGGGTTTAGTCTCAGATGATTCGTTGGAATACCCTGAAGACAGTCTTCAGCCGGTGATGTTGTTTTTGTTAAAAGCAGCTGCCTAGTGCTGCTAAAAACCAGCGTGAGGGTGGCGAGCCTTATTTATTTGAAGGCCGTGCGGAAAAAAAAATAGAAAAGACTTATAGATGTGATAAAAAAAAGTGATCTGTAGCTTTTCAAATGATGATTGATGTTTATATGAGAAATCTGAACTAATTCAAGGTTCAAGGTTCAAGGTTCTTTATTAGTCACATGCATAGTTATACAAGTATAACACACAGTGAAATGTAGCCTGACACGCTCCTCGACATGTGCAAAAATGGGGGGGGGTGTAGAGGAAGAACATTATATATATATATATATATATATACATATATATATATAGTATATACACTGGGTGAATGTGCAGTAGTAGCAGCAAGCAGGTGAATTCTGTACATTAATATGAATAGACATCTGACTATTTTACAGGATAGACAATATAAACATATTTAAAATTAAAGGAATTGAAATGTACATTGTGCCTTGGTTTAGTGTCTGGAAGAGTCCTGTCTCAGTCAATTATAGATGATGTGAGAGGGCGGGTGTGTGTGTTTAGGGCACGGATGGCTTGGGGACCTTAAATGAAAATTGAGTACTCTGTGTGAGTCATGCATCAGTGTGCACTTGGTGTTTTGTGAACATCCATCTCTACTCTAAGTGTGACACACACCCTAACCACATTCTCGTACACCAAACTGTGCTTTCCCATGCAATGCTACCGTACACTATGAACTGTGACCTTAATTTTAATGCTTTAAGCACCGATATTTAACAGTTACCTTGGAGATGTTGCTGGATCGACTCCCTGAGCGCCCAGGTGCCTTCCTCCCCTGCAGGGGAGATGGAGAGACAGAAAATCATTAGAGCCCAATAAACACGCTGAAGGATGTGATGCTTTAATAGTGCGCAGCAGCTGTGGAGCCTGAGGCTTTTAAACCAATGATTTCTTTGGCACACAACACCAGACAGAACCATAAAATCATATTGGAACAATATTTTACAGCCCTTGTGTCGACTTCAGCTAATGGCTGATTCACCCGAATATGTGTTAGTGCAATCTGCTGCAGAGCTGCTGCCACTTTTTTTTCCTTCTGTGTATGATAATGATAGATAAAGTCTTTTAAACTACTCAAATATGCCCATGTCGAGTTCAGGAAGGTGAATATTAATGCACAGAAAAGCAGCAAAAGTTTTTTTTTTTTTTCATTTATATTTCTTTTTGTTTTTTTTTTGAGAAATGAATGCCGCATAATAGCTTTAGCAATAACTTCTAAATCATGGCGGCTTCACCTTCAAACTGCAATCATTATAATTTAAATCAAATGATTACACACATCAGGCATGCTGTTAAGTTTCAAACTAAGTTTAATCTCCGCCCACTTCACCAACCAAGACGTCTCCAAAAATAGGCGAGGTGAGAAATGTGTCTGCAATTTTTGTAGAAAAGACACTAAAGTTTAAATCTGCAATAAAAACAAAACTCCAATAATCAAACTAAGCTGCTTTTAACACCAGCAGGTATTCAGCGCTGATCAGTCCTACTGTGTTTACCGATGAAAATCCAGCATCAAGAGTCGTGCACAGCCTCATGTCCTTGCTGCTTCATTGTGACCTGAGCTAAAGCCAGCCAATCCTATTACCTGGTTGTCCTGCTAAGAGCACAAGATGCTGCTCTGCAATGTGTCTCTATTTAAAGGCAACTTAAGGCACTTTTTCTAGAATCTGCCCTGAGCGCTGATTGTCTGAACTCACCTATTAGACCTTGGGCTTCGCCAGCAGACATCTGTGGCCTGCAGCAGCTTTACTTACCAATGAGATGGTGGCGAGTGGGAGCTACCAAGTGACGATCAGCTGGTAAACCACCAAGAAGGAAAATATCTTCTCCATAATAATTTGGTGCCAAATTATTTTCCAGACACTTTCGATCTGTCCTGATCCCAAAATTCTTACCATCATATCACTGAAACCTAGCTTCTATTTTACGTATGAACCACATCAACAACATGGCTCAATTCAAATGAAATCAGCTGGTTGTGAGTTGGGAAAGCTACAGATTGCTGAATAAGTAATGCAGATGAACCGAAGCAGTCACAGCGAGCAATTATTTTTCTGGTTCGCTTTCATCCTCAGCCACATGGACCTTTGCACCTGCATTATGGGATTAAATCTGGCTTTGTTGCAGATATTTGTTGGATACTGTTTTAAGTATCATACATGCAATGAGCTCAAGCTAATAACCTACCAACTGTCTGCTACTGCTGTGGGTGGGCAGTGGAGAATGAACTGGCAGGAGTTAAAAGGACAATGGACATCATGGATAAAGCTGGCTGTATTTTCCTTTCTGTCAATAAATTCTAAAACCAAAGATGTAACTGCAACTTTTCCCAAAACCAGTACCCATCTCATCCTAATGTCATATATTATAGAGTATCTATAACACCTGTCAGTATGAAAGTGGACACTTTAAAGGGCTGAGATTTGTTAAGTTTTATGTATCTTACAGGATGTTTGTGGAGTTCAAAGTTGGAATGTTAAATGTGCATGGTTTTTCCATAGATCTATTTTTTTAAATACTTGACATAAAATAGGAAAACCTGAGCTTGCATCAGCCCATACACAGCCACAGTTGTAGGTACACTCTGTGAAAATCACTGAAATAAATAAGAGACACTGACAAGCAGAGAACTGCATCATCTAAGCTGATCAAGGGATTTTCTGATGGCCACTTTTAAATCAGTGCAGCCCTGCTTGGAGTCAAAGCAAACACTCCTCTGCCTTTTAGAGGAGATGGACACGTGTTCACATGTATGTGACCAGTTATAATTACTCACATCATCTTTCCAAAGTTTCATAGTAAAAAGGGTATTTCTAAGAAGATACAACTACTGATGCCTGGGAGTCGTGTAATTCCTTCCAGTCAGGTTGGTTTCCGTGTTGTGGTAAACCTCTAATGCGTCAAAAAAACAAACAAAAAAACCCCCCCAGAAGTGGGTGATCAAAGACTACAGCTATGAAAGGAAATAATGAGATCTTGATTTTGTTTGGAGTTTTTTCCATTAACATTAATGCTTACCCCCAAAACACAACCAACATCAGCTACACAAGCAGTGGGCTAAAGCAGACATTCTCCAACAAAACTTTACCAAACTAGAATATCTTTTGGAAAAGACGTGCATGGACATGTATGTGCTGTTTTATTATTTTAAAAAAGTAATAGATGGGGCGATTAATACCATTTTCCTTCTTGCATTCTGTTGCTCTAAATAGTGTTTAACATTGCTTAAAACAACAAAAAAGAAATCAACAGGAAACAGACTTGAGCCTGCCAGGCTAACTGTTTCCTCCTGCTTCTAGTCTTTGTGCTATGCTAGGCTAAACACATCTGGGACCAACCTTAACTCATAGATAAAGTTCCAAAACACGTCATGTGTGAGTTGCTACAACTTATCGATACCCTGCAACTGAGTCTTTCACCCTTCTAAGGCCAACAAAGCCCAAACAATTCAAGCACACTTCCTTTGATGGAGCATACGTACAAATAAAGAAGAAGCACCTCTCAGGTAAGAAAAGAGGCCAAAAACAAGGGAGGCAGCACAAGTTTGTCCTACACCTAAAAATAAATACTGCACAGACCCAGTCAGATAGTTAACCTGTCTTTTATAAAGCACGTGTGCACAATATGCTTTACATGATAAAGGGGTGAGATGTGTCTAACTGCACAACAGCAGTCTAGCAGACAAAATCACACTTTGTGTATTTATAGACGTTTTCTAGCTTGCTCATTGTGTGAATATGTAAAACAGTTTCTTGCCTTTCTAAACGAAAGGACATTACATCAATTCGAAATACATCTATGTGACAACAAAGGTTAATCAAGAGAAAAGCAAAAAGAAGCTTTACCCTTAGCAGAGGAGCATAAAGCACCATAATACCATAATAATGACTGCGTTCATAGCACTGGTACAGTACTGACACTTCAATTCTTTGGCTGGCACATAACAGAGATTAAAAAATACTATTCAAAGATATAAGAGCAAATGCTATTCTACAATTCCTAATATCAGGGCTAAACACTCACAAAAATACTTTGGTCATGAATTCTCAGAGAAAATACACGACATCTAATTTTTTAAGTGCATCAACTTTTAAATGCCACAGCAAAAGAGGGCAATAAGAAACTGACCATCATAAGACTCCAGCAAAACACATAATTCCTCTAGATTTAGCTTCTATAAGCTATAACTGATAGCTCTCCAGTAATGAAGTGAAGTTTCAGAGGTAGCGTACTGCTGTCGCTCACCTGAACCTCGAATCCTCTGTTGGCACTCTGGCTCTGATGCACAGCAGAAACTCTGGCGAGTCTGTGTATGGACATGTGCATGTTTCTTCAGAGGATTAAGTGATGTAGCATGGACTGAGGGATGTATTTTGGTTCTGTAGTTTGGCATACGATCAAACACACCTACAGCCACATTTAGACAACCAACCGTGACACTGCAGCTGCACACTTTATATTTGAAAGTGGTGCATTTGACATAATTCCAGCTTTAAACAACCTCAGAGCATTTGTGTCTTTATAACACAAAGTGTTCACTGAGCCACAGTGAAAGTTCAGGTGAAAACAACAGATACAATTCCATAAGAAACCCAGAGTCACAGACCAAACTGACCAACAACTGTCAGCAAATCCTGACTTTATTATCAAGTTCTGATTGTTCCAACTAGAGCAGAGCGATATGGCCAAAAATATTTATCACGATATATATTTGAAAATTTGCGATAACAATATAACCGACGATATAATTGATGCGAGACAAAATACAACTCCACAACATTACTAGCGCAAAAAGACAACCTTCCATTTATTTTCACTTAAACAAGAAGCTG